TCTGACTAGCACAGTTTTTTTTTTTTTTTACAGTGTAGATTTATGACTTCAGGCTTTAGAGATTTCCTAAACAATACATATTCTGTTGGTACATTTGCAGGTTCATTTTAATGTACTCCACCGTACTTTGCACTCAGTATAACTCTGCGCTAACTACTACCATCGTCGGCTGCCTAAAAGTAAGAATGTTTCTTTCTTAAACATGCCAAGATACAGTTTGTCCTGCAGTTTATTATATGAACAATTTTTGTGTCTCTGCAGAATATATTAGTGACGTATATTGGAATGGTGTTTGGAGGAGATTACATTTTCTCATGGACTAACTTCATTGGTCTGAACATCAGGTAAGAAGTGAGCTTTTCCCAGAAGGGAACAAATGGGATGCATGGATTTAGTGTGACGCTGATGATCTGATTGCCTGTGCTTGTCTTCTCAGTATTGCTGGCAGTCTGGTGTATTCCTACATTACCTTCACAGAGGAGCAGACCACCAAACCGAGCGAGAATACCAACAAACTAGAGGTCAAAGGGAAAGTGTCTGTATGACCAGTTTGTTTGACTTTTATGATGCACAAGGCTGTATCTATGAGTTTTTGTATTTCATGCAAGAGTAAGAAGTCACTCCTAGTATGTTTTTTTTTTTTTTTTTTTAATTATATGAAGAAGATATTGACTGAAAAAGGTACAGCAGGTGCTGGCAGGACATCGTCTCAAATGAAAGATTTGATCAAGTTTCAAATATATTGGAATGTGTTATTCCAGAGTAAAGATTTGCCTGTTGATTGTCACTTCTGTTAAGAAGTGGTGTCTGTTACAAACCGATGGTTTGTGTCCTGCAATGTTGGACACTTGCCACAAATGTTGAAACACCTGTTGTATTGTCTATTGAAGAGTACTTTTAAAGATGGATTTTAGTCAGTAAGGATATTTATTTTCATGCGAGTTGTTTTTTTATTGCTAGGATTGTGAATTGGATTTTATTGTTGGGAAAGGTTTATTCTAGCTATAAAAAGGGAGTTTACATACATTTGTTTAAATAGTTTTGTGACAGTTCTGGTACCCTGTTACACAGGAATGTTCCTTCAAAACCTGAATGATAAATGGAAAGTGTGTATTTGAGTGTGTAAAACAAGGTACATGTGTGCAACTCAAGTAGATGTTTGATTTGAGTCTTTTGATAAGTTTTAAAGAACAATATTTTGTGTTAAGCGTTCTCAGTGTTACACAGTGTTCAACTGGACAAATTCTTATAACTGCTTTTGTATTTTTTTTTTATTTGGGAATGGGATGCAGTAACTGTTTTTTACTGATGGAATCATTATAAACGCAAATGGTGTAATTGCACTTGAACAGTTTGCATGTGTTCTCATTTGTTAGTGATTTAAAATGGATATTAGTTTTTGCAAGAACGTAATACAATATGCACAAACATTTCAGTATGTTGAGCTGTCTTGTTTAACGTCGCTGCCTTTGGGCAAATAAGAAAATGAGAATGTGTCCTACATTTATGTCTGATGTATTTTTGACAAATCCAAAATGCTAGTCTGAAAATATCACACATTTCAGTTATTTCTTGTGCTATACTTGTTGTACATCTGGAAAAGCTGATGCATTCTGCGGTTACTGAATGAATATCTGTTTTCATTCATGTATGCCACTTTTTGGAACACTGTCCATTGCTTAGAGATTCTAATTTTATAGATGATGTGCATTTTTGTGCTTTATTTTTCAGCACTGATGACATATTGTTGCTGCAGAAGTATTTTGTGTTCGACTTTTATTCATGTTTTTATTCATTTTAGTTAAAGAAATATTTCGTTATCAATTTCATATCTGCAAATTCTCAGTGATCGTATCAGTGAGAAACGGGATGTGTATAACATTTAAAATACCTCAGCTCAAAGAATATGTATTTTGTGTCATTTTCTGATGTTAACCAAAGTAAAATCCTTTTTCATTTTTCATGTTGCCTATCGCTTCTGTGGCAATAAATTGTGTACTACTTTCTCTAGGGTTGTTTGTGTGTTATTTGTTACATAAAGCCATCTCATCCAGGTTTTAGGTCTACAAAACAGATCATTCTATTTGACTGTTTATGGGATGTCTAGAAGCAGGCACCCATGATATGACTGCTCCATGTAAAATAAAACATAAACCAGTGTTTCTTAAGTGAGTGTACATGATTTTAAACCATTATTTTATTTTTTTCAAACATACTATTCATTTCTTTATGGGTAAAACCTTATTAATGATGGAACATTTTTTGACTGCTGAAACTAGTGAGTCTTAAGCTCTAATGTAATTGGTAGATTCTCAAAAGCAAAAAAGCTATTACATTTGCAATTACAATTGCATTTGCAATTACTCTATTTTGCTAGCATATTTGAATAACAATCATAAAATGCGTTGTATATTGTAATGAGAGAATCTTAACAGTTACGTTTTCCAAATATTAAACCGACAGTAACTGGCCTGCTGTGCTTTGTCACCTTTGCGCAGTGTTTAGGTCGTGACAAGACTTTTATTTTGTAGTATTCACTGTAGCTCTACTCATTTTCAACACATATATTATCGCTGGCTTCACAGAACCTACAACAACTATGGCGGAGGTAAGAGAAACATTACAAATTGCAGCAAATAACGCACTTGAGCGGTCAGTGCAACCCTTTAATTAAATTTAACTTCATTTCAAATTTTAAATAGTTCAACGATGACGTGTTTCTTAACGTTCAGCCCTGAATAATTAGCAAACAGGTTAGGGCGCCCAATTTGAATGTGTTAGCAGCTAGCAGCTAGCAGCTAACGTTAACTTGTTGCCTGAGCGCTAAACTCACATCCAGTATATTCCTCGGTGCTTTTATTAAGAAACACCAACAGTGCCTAATAAATTATAACCCAGTGCACCCTGTTATTTCTAGTCATTCATTAACATGAGGTTATACGTTCTTTAACAGCGTTGCCGCTGACTGTAACGTTAGATGATCATTCCTAGTCAGATTCAGGTCATATATCATCTTATGGTGATATCCCATCTCTTATGGATTTTGTTCATATTATTAAATTATTGGGATTAAAATGTTTTATTTTCTTTCCAGCCCTCCTTAAGGGGTCCAGGCTCTGAAGGTAAAGATTTCAGTTACTTTTATTTTACTAGCAATAACAAAATTAATGTAACGTTAGGGTGCATCAAAGCCCACATTTATATTAATGTGTAGTATTATATATCATTTGTGTACATTTAGTGTGTGTAGATATTATTAGTGTGTATCTCTCTCTCTCTCTCTCTCTCTCTCTCTGTGTAGAATAGATAATTATATTAATAAACAAAAAATGTCTGTTAAATAGGAGCACATGGAGTGGTCCAGCATGAGGACAGAGACTTTGATCCTTCAGCAGACATGCTTGTACATGACTTTGATGATGAACGGACATTGGAAGAAGAGGAAAAGCTGGAGGGACAGACCAACTTCAGTGCCGAAATTAATGACCTCACTCAAGTATGGGCCATCTTTTTATTTATTTTTTTATAACATTTTAATACATACGTTTATGATGATATGTTGAGGCTCATTAAATAACCTTCACAGGTCTTGATTCATGACTTTACTACTCTCTGGTTTGGTAGGAGGGTGAGATGCCCATTGAGGAGCTTCTGAAATTGTATGGCTACAGCACTGGTGGGTCTCCAGAGGAGGAGGATGGAGACGTTCAAGAGGAGGATTCTTCAGAGAATAATTGCTGCAGCCATAGTAAACTCAAAGTAAAGATCTACATGAAAAATAATGAATCTGTATGTTTTTGTATGCATACGCATAGTAAAATCAACCAATCATTGTTGTGGCTGTCAGGAGGACGAGAGGCAGGAGCTTTCTGATCAAGAGGATGGGGACGTGCAGTCGTCTGGTGAGAAGCCTCCGTCCTGCAGTGTTTCTCACAGCACAGCTCAACGCCTCTACCCTCGGCCATCCATTTACTTTGAAGGTATGATCATAAAAACACTACACTGCATGTTACACATAAATGAAAGCTTGTTTCTTCCATGATTCCTCTTTAATGTTGTATTTTGTGGTGAAAGCAAAAAAATAAAACATTTTTTAGATGTTAACTCAAAATTCAGAGGAAAAAAACGTTAGAATTGTGAAATGTAAACTTAGAATTTTGAGGGAAAAGTCAGGATTGTGAGATATAAACAAACAAAAAAAGTTTGTATCTTGCAATTCTGAGAATTGTATGCCAATTGAATTGTCAAAAAGTATGAATTGTGAAATATAAACTCAGAATTGGGAGGGAAAAAAAACTGAACTGAGATAAAAAATTACCTTTTCAACAATTACCTTTTACATTTTTTTTTATCCCATGCAGACCATGGCAGAAACAGGCTTCCATACACATCAAAGTTAATTTTACCCAAAAAAAATGTTGTAGTGCTGAAGCTGGCATGTTATTTACATCTATTTTATTTTATTTTTTTGAGTTAGTACATTAAGTACCATTAGGTTTTGCCATGTAAAATTGTAACACTGTGTGTCTATGTGTATACACACACGCACACTACCATTCAAAGGTTTATTTACAGTAAAAGTGACAGTTTTCAAAAGTGACAGTAAAGACACTTTGAAGACTCTTTTTAACTTTCTATTTATCAACAAATTCTGAAAAAATGTATCACATTTTCCGCAAAACTATTATGCAGCACAACTGTTTTCAACATTCATAATAATAAGAAACGTTTCTTTATATCTACCAAATCAGCATCACACACTATATTATTTATTATATATTATTTCAAATGAAACAAATGTACACTTCCACAGATGTTTTTCATTTATTGTACCGTCTAGTAGTAGATGCCTGGTAGGACCAGCAGATGGTGATAAAAAAATCACAGTCTAACTAGATAGGGCTCCATGTGACTTTGTTTTATAGGGGATGAGGAAGAATCTGAAGATGATGATTATATTCCATCTGAAGATTGGAAGAAGGTAGATTTAATATTATTTTCTCTCAAAGGTTTTTTTTTTAAAGATTTCAAACATGGATTTTTTTTCTTCTGTCATTCATAGGAGATAATGGTTGGTTCAATGTATCAAGCAAAGACTCCTGTTGGCCTTTGCAAATATAAGGACAATGAAAAAGGTGACAGAACTGAATGATATGCTTATTTAGATGTGATATGTATATATTTAATACATATGTTATACATACACATTTTTGTTCTTCATCTGCTTGTCTCTTATAAATGTAGTGTACGAGAATGATGATCAGCTTTTGTGGAATCCGGAGTTAATTCCAGAAGAAAAGGTTGTAGAGTTTTTAGCCGAGGCTTCTAAATGCAGCGGAGAAGAGACTGGTGTCCATGCAATTCCTGAAGGATCTCACATCAAAGACAATGAACAGGCAGGTCACCATCAAATGGCATATTTACTTAAATCATATCGACGATTCCCTTTTGACATGTTGTAATAGCAATTTCTTTGCTTAAATTTCAGGCTCTTTATGAATTGTTTAAATGCAACTTAAATGCAGAAGAAGCTTTAAGAAGACTGAAATTTAATGTGAAGCCTGCCAAAGGTGAGTGTGTGTGTATGTGTAAAAGATTATGTTAGTTAAAGGGGTCATATGATGCGATTTCAAGTTTTCCTTTCTCTTTGGAGTGTTACAAGCTGATTGTGCATAGATACGATCCTTGAATTATAGAGGACCTACAATAATGTACAGTATTTGAAAAATAATGTGTTTTTTGAACATTAAAGCATGTCAACATATTCTGTTACACCAAATACACAAAATAATGATCTTTAAAAAAAGGATCATATGACCCCTTTAATGTTACAGGGTTTCTTAATTCAGCCATCCACAAATTGCGGCCTTAAAAATGTCTTATTTAATACCATAAAGTCTTAAATCATAAAGTCTTGGCATTAAATGCCAATGCCATCGCATGCATTGCAGAAAATGAATATCTACCTCAGTATTTTTGTTTTCCCATACAAATATCTAGACATCCTTAAATCAAGATATATTTACTTGAGATGCACATTTAAAGTCTAAATGTACCTAAGAATCTTTACACATTTGCTCTGGAAAACAAGACAAACATACTGAAGAAGAACATTGTGTTTTTGCATTGTAATCAGAAGGTACAGTAAAAGTATTCTAATGGTTGGGAGAAGAGGTGTTCAAGCCTTAAGCTTTTTTGTAAAATGAATTAAAAAGTGATGGAGATTGGTTGAAAGTTGTATTTTCAAACATCAAAGTGTTGCTGATACAACTCATTGTGTGTTCTCTAGAACATATTGATGTATTGTGTTCCCTTCAATTTATTCCTTACATTTTCGGGCACACTTTTAGTTTGGGGACCAATTCTCACTATAAACTATGAATTTTGCCTTAATAAGGTCCTAATTTGCTGCTTACTAACAGTTAGTAAGGTAGTTGTTAAATTTAGGTATGAGATAGACAGTGCCTTGCAAAAGTATTCATACCCCTTCATTTTCCCCCACACACACATTTTGTTATGTTGCTGCCTTATGTTAAACTGGTTTAAATTTCCTTTTTTTCCCACATCAATCTACACTCCATAGACCAAAATGGTAACGCAAAAAACTTTTTTGTGAGCTTTGCTGTTTTTTATTTATTGTTCACTTAGGTAATTGTTACTTAATTAAACTTTTCCAGGTGAGAACTAGATCTGTAGGGGAATGTGTGGCCTTTTATTACATGTGGAAGAAATCTGAGCGTTATGATTTCTTTGCACAGAAAACCAAGCTTGGAAAAAGAAAATACAGTCTTCGTCCTGGAGTTTTGTAAGTCAGTCATCAACACTGTGGCACATTAAAGGTCACAAGTCCAAGTCCTCTAATTAAACTCTGTGTATATAGAATCAGATGCTGTGTTAGGTCATATCCTGCCTGGTGTTTGTTTGGCATTACAGGGATTATATGGAGTGTATTTTGGATGAGAGGAAGAGCTCTGAGTCCAGTGGATCTTCATCTTCACCTCCCACCTCTTCCAACAACAGCAAACACCCATCTACCCTTATCTGGGACAGTTGAAATTTAGCTCAGGAGCATTCATATTGCTTGTAGATGTTACTACATTTTAAGTGAAGTTAGTCTGTGGCAAATTCAATGGAATGGATATGATTTGAAAAGGCACACGTCTTAATTAAAGGTCTAACAGCTGATAATGCATATCGGAGCAAAAACCAAGCCCTGAGGTCAAAAGAACTGCCCGTAGAGCTCAGAAACCGGTTTGCGTCAAGCCACACATCTGGGGAAGAGTTCAGAAAAAAATTCTGCTGCATTGAAGGTTCACAGAAGCATGTAGTCTCTTTTACCCTTAATGGAAGAAGTTTGAAACAACCAGGACTCTTCCTTGAGCTGACCACCATGGCCAAACTGAGCAACTGATGGAGAAGGGCTTTTGTTAGACTAGTGACCAAGAACCTGATGGTCACTCTAGTTGAGCTCCATGATCATATGTGGAGATGGGAGAAATCTACACAAGGACAAACATCAATGCAACACTCCACCGATCTGGGCTTTATGGCGGTGTGGCAAGACTCAATCTCTTCAGGTAAGACACATGAAAACACACTTGGAATTTGCAAAAAAGCACCTAATGGACCCTCAGACTCTGAAAAAACAAGATTATCTGGTCTGATGAACCTCAATTCTAAGCATCATGTTTAGAGGAAAGCAGCTCTGCTCATCACCTGCAGAGTACCATCCCAAAAGTAAAGTGTGCTGGTAGCAGCCTCATGCTGTGGGCTGGTTTTCAGCGGCAGGGACTCGTCAGAGTAGAAGAAAAGCTCAATGCACCAAAATATAGAGATCGCCTTAATGAAAACCTAATCCAGAGCATTCAGAACCTCAGATTGGGCAGAAGGTTCACCTTCCAGCAGGACAGTGACCCTAAGCACACAACAAGAGTGGCTTATAGACAACTCTGAATGTCCTTGAGTGAGCTTGAACCCAATCAAATATTTCTGGAGAAACCTGAAAATGTGCATCTGCCCCCATCCAACCTGACAGAGCTTGAGAGGTGAACAGGTGAGGTGAAGAATGGCAGATAATTGCCAAATGATGATGAGAAAAGCTTGTCGAATCAAACAAAAAAGACTTGAGGCTGTTAAGGTGCTTCAGCTAAATATTTAGTTGAATACTTATGCAATGTACTTATTTCAGTTTTTTTATATTTAATAAATGTACAAAGTTGTGACAATTCTGTTTTTGCTTTGTCAGTATGGTGTATGGAGTGTAGACTGATGTGGGGAAAAAAAGTAATTTAAAGCAGTTAAACAAGGCAGCAACATAACAAAACATGAAAAAAATGAAGGGGTATGAATACTTAGCACTGTAGATAGTGTTCACATAATATTAAAGTTTTTTTTTCTTCATTAAGTGGCCACAAGGACAAACATCAATGCAACCCTCCACCGATCTGGGCTTTATGGCGGTGTGGCAAGACTCAATCTCTTCAGGTAAGACACATGAAAACACACTTGGAATTTGCAAAAAAGCACCTAATGGACCCTCAGACTCTGAAAAAACAAGATTATCTGGTTTGATGAACCTCAATTCTAAGCATCATGTTTAGAGGAAAGCAGCTCTGCTCATCACCTGCAGAGTACCATCCCAAAAGTAAAGTGTGCTGGTAGCAGCCTCATGCTGTGGGCTGGTTTTCAGCGGCAGGGACTCGTCAGAGTAGAAGAAAAGCTCAATGCACCAAAATATAGAGATCGCCTTAATGAAAACCTAATCCAGAGCATTCAGAACCTCAGATTGGGCAGAAGGTTCACCTTCCAGCAGGACAGTGACCCTAAGCACACAACAAGAGTGGCTTATAGACAACTCTGAATGTCCTTGAGTGAGCTTGAACCCAATCAAATATTTCTGGAGAAACCTGAAAATGTGCATCTGCCCCCATCCAACCTGACAGAGCTTGAGAGGTGAACAGGTGAGGTGAAGAATGGCAGATAATTGCCAAATGATGATGAGAAAAGCTTGTCGAATCAAACAAAAAAGACTTGAGGCTGTTAAGGTGCTTCAGCTAAATATTTAGTTGAATACTTATGCAATGTACTTATTTCAGTTTTTTTATATTTAATAAATGTACAAAGTTGTGACAATTCTGTTTTTGCTTTGTCAGTATGGTGTATGGAGTGTAGACTGATGTGGGGAAAAAAAGTAATTTAAAGCAGTTAAACAAGGCAGCAACATAACAAAACATGAAAAAAATGAAGGGGTATGAATACTTAGCACTGTAGATAGTGTTCACATAATATTAAAGTTTTTTTTTCTTCATTAAGTGGCACTTTGTGGAGTTAATCCAAAACAAAATATTTAATTTATTATTAAATGTAATCTTGTTGATTTCACAGGTGTAGGGAGCCATTCCTCTGAGCCCCTTCTCAGTGTGACAGATGAGAAATCTCAGATAAACGGCTCTGCCACGTGTTCCGATATTTCCACAGCAAAGTCACCACGCTGCTCTAACCCTGACGCCAGCAGCCCGAGCACACAAGTCATGGAGATCACAGTCAAACAGGAGGAAGATGAACACTGTGAGCGACCTCTCAAAAGGCTTAGGACTGACGCAGACCCCAGCAGTGAAGGGTCTGTCCCCCACAACAAAACCGAAACCGTCTGACTCACCAGCAGAAACTTAGAAAAAAGACACAGAACTCCTGACCTCAGATGAGGGGTTGATACAGGCCCTGTTTTTAGCATGAAGGTAGCTGTGTGTGTGAATTTCAGGGATGCAAATGAAGCACATTTCTGTTCTCGCACATTACTGTCACTGAGCTCAGTTCATATCTCAAACACTCATGATATAGACTGTCATATCAGACAGTCAACCTTGTAGCACTATTTATTAATATAGGTTAAGATGAGCAATGTTATTGTGTTTCTTTGTTATTTGAAAGAAACAGCTGACTGTATTTTGTGAAGCTTCTGTCATTTGGTGTGCATAACATTGCTCTAGCTGTAAATGCACACTGGAAAAACCCCTCTTGATTTTATATGAAGTATAATACTGTAAATATTTGAAATCTAAAATTATTTAAAAAAAATACACTTTTGTGTTTGGAACATTTTGAGTACTTCAGGCAGTTGTAAAAATGTAATTTCTAACTGCAACATTCCATCCTTTTCATTTCGGAATTTCCTATTTGACCAAAGTGAATGGTTGATATGTCTTTTAACAGCATGTTAAGAAGCTATTTCCTGTTTATATGAAAAAACGGTCTTATTTTTGTATTTGATAGCTATTTATTTTTTTTAATCAGATATTGGTGACACATGAGGCCAGTATACGGAGTATATTTGTATAAGCCGGAGCGAGTAGTGTTGAATATAAAAGGCAAAGCAGAAATGAATGGTGCTATTTATTCATTTTCTCACTGATAATGTCAGCCCATGCTTAAGATTTTTTTTTTTTTTACGTTTTAGGACCTCTTGTTCCTGTCAGGAATAGTAGGGGAAAGTGGAATATACAGTTTCCTTAAATTGGCTGTCATTCATGTCTGCATAGCTCAGGAAAACCAGTACAGAAACATAGGGTGTGTCAAACAGTTGTCAGTTTCAATTAGTGAACTACT